TAAAAAAAACAACTAAAAAATAAAAAAAAACAACAAAAAACCAAGCCCCAGGGAAAAAAAAAAAAAAAAAAAAAAGATCATTAACACATCAAAATGTTCATGCAACTTGTCTTTTGGCACAAATAAATGGCTTGTCAAAATTAGCTGTCATCAGTAACTCACCTGAATACTGAAGGCATGAGACTTGTTTGTTGGCAATGTTAAGAGCAGTACGTGGTTCAGTTGGTGCTGCACTGTCCTCTGGGTAGTTTCTATGGAGTAAGCCCCTAAGTGACAAAAACATGTTTTTTGTAGTTTATGTGACACATACGTATACGCAGAGTAAATACAGTAGAGTACACTGCTTACAAATGTCTTATTGACTTTTTAGGTGATGTTTTCTTCTGAGCATTGGTTTGTGCTGAAAACATAGTCATTCTGAAATAGAGAAATAAAGAAGAATATAATCAATCAAGCAACGACTCTAATCACAACACTCTATTTGTTTCATCACAATATATTTCAGCTGTAATTTTTAACAGGTGTCTTCGACCATCAATGGTGTATAAAACATATGTCTCAGACAGAGATACCTTATCATACCTTGGGGTGGTGTTGTATCCAGATGACTTCACTTTTGAGTGAAAAACTAGCGGCTTTTCCTTTATTCCTCCTTTGAAAAAAAAAACATCTCAGATGAGATACAGACTGACAAACAGGGCTAATTATTGTACATTTTATAATTTACAAGTGTTTTCACAGAAAACCTATGAAGTTACGTAAAGTGAATGAAGACATAATCGTATTTAAGAAACAAGGAAATAAAGAATTATTTTATTTTGTTTATGGGCTAAATTCATTGTAATCTGAATGTTTAAAAGAACATGGTAGCAAAACATTCAAAAGAGGAGTAAGAAGACTAAAGAATGAATGAAATACTTAAAATCAACATACTGGTAGATTCAATGGGCAGTGGATACTCTGTCTAAAGGTAATGGTGAGAGATTGGCTACAAAAACATATTCATATTATATTCTTTCCAAGCATTGACTGCAGGAACCACCATGAGATTTTGGTTTTTGCATGTTTTTTTTTGTTTTGTTTTTTTTTTTTTTTGCTAAATAAATCACATTTTAAGTAAGATTATCTTTGGCTGATAAAAAAAAGTTATGTGCTGAGACAATTAAGTATAAACGGAAAACAAAAAAGAAGAAATTGGCATGGTTCAAATATATATTCAGTAAATACTTTTTTATTGTTATATTTTTTATCCAGTAGTAATATTTGGCAAAGAGCAAAAACTTTCAAAAAGAAATAAGCTAGTACTTTTTTTCACTTGTTAGAATCTGGAATGCCAATATCTGATAGGCTGTACCTACTGAAGTGAATTGAACCTAAATACTTTTTTCAAATATACATTTGAAAAGAAAATCTCTGCACTGCAGTTCTGTAGTATATTGACGAAAAACGCTTACAGACATTTCTTTACAACCACAGGATTAGGTGAATTTGTGAAAAAAAAAAAGGCAGAACATTTCTTCCTTAACTTGTTATTCTACAGCAGGTTTCTTGGGTTATACAAGAAAGAGGTGAGTCAGAAGCACTGGATGATCTCACAGTGCTCCAAGTACTAAGAGAACAGCCACAACCTGCGGGATGTTTTATGCTCCTCATTGTTCCTTGTCAATGCCTTTATTATATTAGAATGAGCTCACTTTTTCCACAGCTGTTAAAATATGTGACGATTACTAAAAACCTTTCTTCTTGCAAAATGCATGCAACAAAGACAAGTTTTCTAAACAAAGACAGTCAATTAAATTGAAACCAGATCAGTAAGAACAAATATGAATAAGTATTTTCTATAATGTCAGCACATAATCCACCTTTTACATGAAGATTATTCACCTCATTAGGGATACAGGGCATCACATTAGCAGGTACTCATCTTACATTTGGAATTTAAACTTCAATTTAGCCTCTTTTGGTATGTCATGCTTCTAAAAAAAATTTGATGCCTATGTCCATTGTTGTTTCTACATAATCCTGATTGATTTTTACTTCAGTTATATCAACTTTCATTTGAAAAAGCCTCTATACCATTTTTGTGAATAAAATACATTTTAATTTATTAACCAGGCTTTTAAATGATATCACCATCAAAGGTTTAAGACTCAAAGATCATCTTAACAAGGCTCCTCTTACAAGGTTCCAATTCTCTCTACTCTATTGTGTTTCAAATAAGCTTTTGATCCAAAACACATCCTGTGAGGGAAAAAAAAAAGTAATATTTTTATTGAACAACTCCACTGACCCCCTACTGATATAACATGGCCATTTAGCTTTGTTAGGCAATAAAATTCACATAATTTAAGCTGACATCTCATTAGAAGCTATTTAAAGCCTTGTGAGAGTCTCAGACAAATTTCCAAGTGGTTACATCTAAAAGAAAGAACAGCAGATTGAGATGTAACTTGATCATGGCTTTCATTATGTCATATCTAGAGAGAAAAAACAAAAAACAAAAAACAAAACAATAACCATTAGTAGAGCTAAAGCAGTAACACCAAAAAACAGCAAGTTTACTCTGTTTAAGGATTATATTGTTAAATATAGTCTTTTATAGTTTATCCAAAAATATAATGTTTAAAAATGTTTAAAATATCATTTAAAGGCTGGAAAAATAAAAATCTGAAACTAATCTTTCCATGACGGGTTCTGTATGAACATGTACATGCACATTGTAATCATGATAACACAGCTTTCCATCTATCAGTCTGCCTGTCCTGTCTCAAAGTAGTTAGAAGAGACTGTTAAATGTATGTGTGAGGTTTTCTATGTTAATACATGTACAAGTCCAATGATAGATTAGAAGCAAAAGGAATCTCGATGTAATGTACTTTGTAAACGTTTGCTCAGCAAGATTATCATAAAATACACAAACCTTTCAGGTGATAATGCTATAAAATGTGGAAAAAGGGCAGTTGTAGTATACTGAACTTGATTTGGGAAACTTCTGGTTGTATTTTACAATTTATGCTGTGAAAATGTGCAATTTCTAAAGTTTTACAAAATTTTACAAATTGGACCTTCAGCCTACTGTCCTCAGTGAACACTTAATACTGTACATCACAAAAAAAAAAGTAATGACAGATCATTAACATTGTCCTAAAAAGTCGCCCATCCTGGTGTTTCATAGTATGAAATGAGCAATAGCCCCTAAATCTGCACTAACAGCTCTTTTGAAAGAGCTCCTTCAGATCTGTGCCAGACGTACGATGAAGGAACCTTTTCCTTTCCAGGAGTCTCAGGGGTTTATGGTGTAATTTGTCTGCAATTTTGCAAATACCTTTAAGAATATGGAGATGCATGGGGAAGAATGGCAGCCTATAAACTTTTGTGGGCTGTTTTTTTTTTTTTTTTTGCTCTGATGTTGTATACATAAAATCCCCTACATAGACTTACATTGGCAAATCTCTCCACTCCAGCTGTGGAGAATCCAGCTTGGACTGGCTTTCTCAGCATAAAGTCTCTGAAGAACATATAAGCCTCAGCACAAGCAGACACATAAGCTTCAGTGTTCTAGTCAGATGACATACATAAAGATACAGCAAAAACAGGAATGGCACAATGAAACTTAGATCTGAATTGAAGGGAACGCAATGAGGAAGGCCGCATTAACACAAGAAGCAGAACCACATTCATCCATTATATATGTGTGTAGATAATGGAAATGTTTTCAGAAGCTCTTGGATTAGCCAATCAGAACTAAGTATGAAAGTATTTCAGAGAAATTAAAAAAACAACAACAACAACTAAGAGAAAGAGAAACGAGTGTTCAAACATTAAACCTACAACAAACCTTTCCTTTTCGGATGGCTGGGTTCCTTCCTCTTTAACTCTGCATTTAGAGGAGATTCCAGCAGTGGAGGAGAACTGGAAACAAGGGAGGAGGGGAGACAGGGGGACGGAGTTACTGGAAACAGTGGAGTACAGCATTTTTCCATCGTTATGGATTATTAGTCGCTCTAATTTACAGTACCGTGATATTGCTGACTCATAAGAAACCAGATGGCTGCAATGGTTAGATATAATTGAGTAAGTTCATATGGAAATATCAGGGTGAGAGGAACCTTTAGAAAGGAGGTGAACCAATAAATAGGGCTTTTTCTTGTGTCATGGAGTACTGCTGCTTAGGTCAGACTTCCACAATCCCAGAACATGTACTGTAGTGATGCCAAACATGGAAGAATTAACATGTCACACACATTTAACTGTCTCCTCTTTAGCAGGCAGGTAGGTATGCAGGCAGGCAGGTAGGTAGGTAGGTAGGCAGGTAGGTAGGTAGGTAGGTAGGTAGGTAGGTAGGTAGGTAGGTAGGTAGGTAGGTAGGTAGGTA